TGTGACCAAATAGAAATGAAAAGACGGCCGACAAGAGAGTTAAAAATGCCAAAAAGGCCCAAAATTGACCAACAAGAGACATATAGACTAAAAGACGACAAAAACTGACCAAAAAGAGACAAAACATTTTAACCAAACACAGACACAAAGGCCAAATAAATACAAAAGGCAGAAAAACAACAAAAATGACAATGAGAGACAAAAACACAAAACTAAACAAAATGAATAATGAAAGAAATGATGAAAAAAAACACATAGGACTCACAAACGAATGACAAAATACAAACAAAAACAGAAATGATTGCAAAGAGACAAAAAAAAAACTTAAGAGACAAACAAATGACAAAATAGAAACAAAAAGGCTAAGAGGAGTGAAAAATAATCAAGAGAGACAAAGTGGAGACAAAAACTGACCAAGAAATGTTTGTTTGTTTGTTTGTTTGTGTGTCAGCCTCCTACAGGTGTGACCTCTCCTCTACCTGCCAAAGCCAAGAGGAACTCTGCGCTGATTGAGAAGCTCCAGGTGAGTCCAGCCGCTCTCTCTGTTGTTGTTGTTGTTGTTGTTGTTGTTGTTGTTGTGACATGATGGTGACATCACTGTGACATCATAGTGACATCACTCTCTGTGCAGGCCAACCTCGCTCTCTCCCCCGCGGCTCCCTCCCCAAAGAGTCCTGGCTTCAGGCTGCTGCCTCCCACCTTCACCCCACCTGCCCCAGGCTCCGCCCCTGCTACCGCGGTAACCACCTTGGTGACCCCCACCAGCCCCGTCACTGTCGCTCCGGCAACCGAGGAGGAGGGCCCCGCCTCCTTTGAAGCCCCTCCCACGGCGGCGGAGGGAGCCATCCTGTCGAGCATCAACAAGGTCAGACAGATTTAAAGGGCCGGTACAACGTTTTACTCACGTGACGCTTCAGCGACCCCGAAATACCTGCAACGATGCATGTATGGACAGAGACAGCAAAATAACCACAAAGACACACAAAACAACCACAACCAGACACAAAATGGCGACAGGGTGACATAAAAGGATCAATGGTCTTGCAAAACAACCACAAAGAGACACAAAACGACCACAAAGAGCTGCAAAGTTACCACACAGAGACACCAGTCGACGACACTAACTAGACACTAAAACGCTGCTTTGCTTCCTGACGTTGATCAGTTTTTCAGTGATTAATTGCAGTGAACAATCAATATAACTATTGACCTGTCCGTCTCTGCTCCCATTGGTCCTTCTCCAGGGCAGAGCTCGCCTCTCCATCCGCCGCCGTCCTCCGTCCCGCCGCCACAGGAAGTCCAGTTGTGGAGACGACGCCGGTGGAGACGACGCCGGTGGTGAGGATGTCAGTGGAGACGTCGATGTTTCCACCTATGTAGTTGTCCCCACCGACATCCCCACTGATGTCTCCACCGACGTCTCCACCGACGTGGTCGTCTCCACTGATGTCTCTGCTGACATTGCCAGCGACACAACAGAGACACAACCACGCTCGAGTGAAGCGGAGGACAAAACAACGGCAGGACAGGAAGGTCCAACAGACGCCCCATCGCCTCCCGACGAACACCAAACCCACGAAGAAGACCAGCCAAAGAGCAGCGACAAAGTGAAGGTGAAGGAGGGAGAGAACGGAGAGGCCAGCTCTTCATCAGACCAGAAGGACGAGGAGAAAGAGAAGCAGGACTCAACCGAAGCAGAAACAAAGACAGACGACCATGAAGAACAACAGAGCGAGGTGAATCCCTTTCACTCACTTTGGTTTCATCAGTGAAAAAACAAAACTCAGCTCTGTGCTCTCTGTTGTCATGATGTCCAGTAACAAAACTCAACTTCACATAGAGAAACAAACACAGACACACAAAACCACCACAGAGACACAACACCCCTACAAAGAGACCCAAAACGATCTCAAACAGACACAAAACCTTCATAAAGAGATAGAAACCAACCACAGAGACACAACACTACCACAAATAGACACAACACCACTACAGAGACCCAAAACGATCTCAAAGAGGTGCAAAACCATTTGAAAGACACAAAACCGCTACAGAAATACACAATCATCATAAAGAGATGCTAAACAACCACAAAAAGACACAAGGCCACCAGAAAGAGATACAAGAAAACACAAATACACAAAATCATCACAAAGAAACACAAAACCACTACACATTATTGAATTACCATGCAAAACAAAACAACCACAATGACCACAAACAGATGCAAAATCACCTCAAAGAAACACAAAGAAACCACAGAAACCAAAAATCACCACAAAGAGAAGCAAAACAACCACAACAGACACAAAACAACCAGACAGAGACACAAAAAACCCCAAAGAAACATAAAACAACCACAGACACAAACCACCACGTTACCGTATTACCTGTAATGCAAAACAGCCACACAGAGACACAAACCACCACATTACCGTATTACCT